ACTAGTATCTCAAATTTGTTTCATAAGATATCTGCAACAAACACTATTTTATCTTTTGGTACCCATAATCTTTTAGGCCCTTTAGAATTAGTTTTCTCAAAGTTTTTAATAAACTTGGATTTCTGTGCAATATTGAATTGTTGTGTCTGTGAAGAAGGGTGAAGATAAGAAAAGGGAGATATATGTTGGATTTCTTCATATGAGTTCTGATTATCACTATCAGAAACATAATCAATTCCTTTTTTTTCCATTATGACTAACACCATATATCATGGAAGCCATTTTGCTTCTTCTTATGTTGTTGTTCAAGAATTAATGAAATTCTCTATCATATTTATATAAGATTGTTTCAGAAAACGAAGGAGCTTTAGAAAGAGTTTCTTCAACTTTTAAATATTTTTTTATTTAGAAAAGCATTATCTTTATCTAAAATAAAATTGTCTTCTTTTTGTTTAGAAACTTCTTTCTCTAGCTTACCATATTCTTCAATTTCATGTTCATGAACTTTTTGAAGGTTCTTGAATTTTCGTTGAAGTTTCTGATACCTACTTAAAGATTGAGACAAACATAATTCTAATTCAGCACAAGAAAGTTCAGAAAATACCTCTTCTGAGTCAGACTAAGTTTATGTGGTGTCTTCTTCTAACGTAGTAGCCATAAATGCTATGTTAGCATGCTCTTCTCTAGATTTTGACCCTTTAGAGTCTGATTGATCCCAAGTTACCATGAGACCTTTCTTCTTGCCATTAAAACCACTTTTCTTGAAGCTTTCCTTTCTGGTGCTTTCTTTCTTGAGAATTGACATTCATTTCTATAGTATCCAGGATCCTTGCACTCGTAACATGTTACTTCCTTGCTTGCTCTTTCTCTTGCAGATGTTTCTGGTCGATCTCCTTTGTTTCTAGATCCTCTGAAGTTCTTTTGCCTTTTCTTTCAGATTTGCTTAACTCTTCTGGACAGAAGGGACAATTCATATTCATCATCAGAAACTTCATCGTCAGAATCTTCTACTTCTTCAGCTTGGAATGCTTTGTACTTTTCTTACTTAGGTCTTTTTGATCTTGATCTTAGAGCAACAAATTTGCCTCTTTTTCGGCGCTCATATACCTCTAACTCCATCTCATGACTCTTAAGAGAACTAATTAACTCTTCAAGAGTTATGTTGTTTAGATCCTTAGTCAGCTTCAGTGCAGTAATCATTGGTCACCATCTCTTGGGAAGAATTCTGATGATCTTCTTGACATGATCAGCTGTGGAGTAACCTTATGTCCAGAACCTTAAGTCCTGCTACTAAGGTTTGAAACCTTAACAACAAATTATCAACCATTTCTTCTTCTTCTTCTTCCATTTTGAAAGCCTCATATTTCTGGATTAAGGCCAAAGTCTTAGTTTTCTTGATTTGAGCATTACCTTCATGTGTCATTCTTAACGAATCAAGAATATCCTTAGTTGTATCTTTATTGGTGATCTTCGCATATTCATTGTAAGAAATAGAATTGAGAACAATAGTTATGGCTTTATGGTTATTCTTGAGATCATGCTTTTACGCATCATTCATTCTGTTTATGGGAATGGGAACACCAATGGCACTAACAGGTACCTCATAGCCATTTGTATTAACATCCCAAAGATCAATATCATAGCCCAGAAAGAAACTTTCTAGTCTATCAATCTAGTAGTCAAATTTCTCTCCATAAAAAACACGAGGCTTAGCATTGTAACTATCCCTTTCGTTTGTGCTAGCAGAGGTCATTTAAGTTTTTCTCACACTGGACCTGTCTACACGGTTAAGCATTTGATTGGAAAATCAATAATAGAGCCTAAGCTCTGATACCAATTGAAGATTGAGAAAAAACACAAGAAATGGGAGTTTGAATTGGATTTTTAAAAATTTTTTTTTTAGAAATCCTTCTCACAAACAATCAATGATAGACATGCTAGAAAAAAAATGACACAATCAGTTTATACAAGTTCTCCTTAGAAAATGCTACTCTTGTCCACCCGCCAAGGTGATTTCGCCTTAGAAAAGAACTTAACCCACTAATCTTGAAAGATTACAAGCTTTTAAGTGTTTAGAAAAATACCTTAGCCATGTCAAGTATACAAACTACAACTTAGTCACTTGAGGAAACAAATCTTAACAGATTTATATAAGACAATATTTACAATAGTATTTCTAAAAAGCAGATTTAACACTACAATAAAGAATAAATATTTACACACAAATATGAGCAACAACTCTTGTGTATACAACAATGATAATAAAAAACACAAATATGAGTAATAAATCCTTGTGTTTTTAGAGAATAAAAGTTAACACAAAAATGAACAACAACTCTTTGTGTTATGATTTTCTCTTGAGTATTTTCTCTCTTGAATTTCTTTGCATAATAACTTTTCTTTTCAAATTTCTTGATAATGAGTCGTTGATTTTCAATGAAGTAGTCATCCCTTTATATAGGCTGAGAAAGTAGATCGTTGGATAGTACAAAAAGTCACTTTCATTTGTCAGCTGCTACAACGGTAGCGTGTGATCGTGGGAGCCGAGCATAAAAAATCTTCAATCGTACAACACTTTCTTCACCATAGTGGAATAGGTCTTGTACTATGTACTATATTCTTCTTGTGCACGTTTCTGATCTTTTTTTTCTGATAAGATACTTCTGATTTGAAGTAGTGAAGAGAGTGCATAAGAGATTATGTTCTTGTTCTTAATCTTCTGATGGAGTATTTCTGATGTGAAATGATAAATATTTCAGAAGACATTTCATTGTAATATTCTCAAAGATATTAGAGTCTTCAGAATCAGAACATTGTCTTCAGACTTTGAGCAAAATATACATCTCTTATCTTCTTAGCCTTTACTTTGATTTTGAAAATTTCTTAGAACCTAAGAAACGAATAAATAAACTGCAAAACAATGCTAAGAAGTTTGAATTTCTTGGTGACACATTTTTAGAGAGGGAGATTAATGCATTGATAGACTTATTAATATTGGTGTGTTATGTAATGGCTTTTGTTTTTAAAATGTTTTACCTCATTTTCTTTCTAGCACCTCCGGTCACAATAAACTTAGTATGCCAAGTTATACATTCTACAATTTTTGATAGGGTTAGGTTTGGACACTATCTCTCTTTTTGTTGCGTGGATTCCTTTTTTTTTAGCAGACCTCTTGTTTGCACAAAAGAAATTCGTAATTACAATATTTAATTTTTAATATATATTGTTTTAATTCTAAATATGAATTTTCAGTATAGATTTAAGATTTGACTTTTATTGTTTTAATTTTTTTCCCAATTAAATAAGCCAATTAAATTGTAAGCATTTGATAAAGTTAGTTGTTAAATTAACTTATACATATTAAATAATATTAAAATTTTATTTTTTAATTATTATTTATAATTTTCAATTACAATAGAAATTCTTTAAATTAATACTCGATAAAATAATAAGATAATAATTTTTCGGAAGATCTCTTTATAATTTTCGGTCCCAAGAAAATCATAAATTAATAATTCATAGAAACTGAAAATATATTACATTCTATTGAAATATGATTTAATAGTTGTCTGTTTTCCTTTAAAGTTCAAGTCTATTTAGAACTCATCTCTAACTTTTCTTATTGTATCCAATAGCTCAAGTATTGTATTTTTGTATTGTATCATAAAATCTTGAAGAATATTCGACAACTCTTTAAATTAATAATTATTAATTTGCCAATAAATTAATAACTCTCTAAATTAATAAATTTCTCTTATCCTAACATTATTAATTTAAAGAATTTCTACAACAGGGAAAAATTAAAGAGAAATATACTATAAATAGTATTCTAAAAATTGCTATGTCAACATTAAAAAAATGTTATACACTTATGAAAATTAGAAATATTCATAAATGAAGATACTTTAATTTACATGATTCATAATTTTTAGGAGCAACATAAAAATATGAGTAGTTTTTTTGTTGTAGTTCCAAAATTTTCTACTATCATCTTATAAAATATAATTTGTTTTAAAGAAATCTAAACTAATATGGTTGAAAATAAAGCGATGGTTGGTTTAGAGGATGCAAATCCATTTGTTTATAACCCTCAATTTGAAAATGCATAGTACCAAAAAAAAAAAGCAACAACGTTATAATCATAATGAAGATGACAAGAGCAACTATACTACCGTATTTAAAATAAACTTTTTCTAACATTTCCTTCTCTAGTTTTTGTGGAAAATAGTACCTCTTTTTATATGTCTTTTTTATTTATTTATATTAGATATTTTCTGCATGCAAAGTGGATCAACTCTCCTTCAAAAAATTTAACAATATTACAAGATATAAATCAAACTCAAAACCTCTTCACTCCATCTTATCAAAATTATTTTCTAGATTATGTATTTTCTTCCATTCTTATATATATATATATATATATATATATATATATATATATATATATATATATATATATATATATATATATATATATATATATATATATATATATATATATATATATATATATATATATATATATATATATATATATATATATATATATATATATATATATATATATATATATATATATATATTGATGTAATGGCGACCCCTACATCCAATTTTAAATTTGAAAAAATTTGACATTTCCAATAGAGTCTAATTCAACTTAAATTTAAAATTAAATATACATAGAATTAGTATAAATGAGTAGCTTGACTAATTGTACTTACCAGTTGACAAAACTAAGGATAATTACACCACAAACATGGAAGTAACATCCATTGACCAATACAACAAAGCTAAACTCCCATCATTCAACATGAGCTGCCAATCCAACCCCCCTTTCTGATTTCTCCACAATCAAAACAGAAAAAACAAATTATACATAAAATAATTAATGTGTACAACTATGCTATGCTAGTAGTATACACATGATGTAATAGCATATTATTTAAATATTATCAATATTTTTTTATAAAAATATAAAGTGCACAGAAGCAGGGGTTTCTACTTTTTATATAGTTGCATTTCAGAATCCACAAACACATAGAACCCAATCACAGCTCACCACATTCATCACTGCTTTTTTGTTTTCTACTCTTATTATTGCTTCCTCTTTCATTAGAAAAATAAAAATTACCCTATTTTGTTTTCAAGTTTCATTTAGCTATGCCTCTTTCTCTTTCAACTTTCTTTTATTTTTCAATCTTTTCCAATTAAAGCACCCATTTTCCTTTTTTATGTCTTGTTTTTTCTCTCTATTTTTCTTTCCCTTTTCTTTCTTGCCCAACATCAAGGAAAAGTTAATACTAGTACTCCTCCAATTAACACAAAAAAAAAAAGGCTTTTTTTTCATCTTTTCTCCCTCTCTCTCTCTTCTTAAACAAGCCTTCATTTTTTTCTTCTTCCACTTCTTCAAATCAACCCTTCATAAATTCTGAGTCTTTCTGAACTTTCCTAATTCAGTTTCCACATTCAATGTCATATACTCATACCCTTTTGTTTCTTTCATTGAATTTCCCAATTGGGTCATGCTTAAATTGAAACTACAAAAAAAAAAAAGTTATCATTTTTATCTTCAAAAAGAAGAATAATTAATTTTGAACTTTTTGGGTGTTTAAATTTCAGTTATGAGAATCTAAAGAGGTAAAGGAATTTCATTGAATTTTATAGATCTTGCACAAGTGGTTTCTAGGGTTATCTTTTTGGTGCATTCTCTTTGAATTTTTTTTTGAAAAAAAGTTGGGTCTATAATCTATTCTAGATTCCTCAAGAGTGTGTGTGTTTCTTTTCATACACACACAAAAATAATAAAGAAGTATTCTGATTCCTTTTGAAAAAAATGCTTATTGATTATGATTTTGATTTTGATTTTGATTTTGATTTTGATTTTTCATTGAAATTGTTGTGGTAAAATCTCCACCTCTGCTTCTCTTCATTTATCTCTTGCCTCTTGTTTCAAAAACCATAAAAATTTGATTTTTCAACTTGGGTTTTTTTCTTTTTTTTTGGTATGATGAAGTGTGAAATGGGAATTCTTTCTCATGCACCATTTGTTGAAAACAATTGGTTTATGGAAGATAGAAGTAACATTAACAGGAGAGCAACAAAATGGACTGCATCAGAGAACAAGTTGTTTGAAAATGCTCTTGCTGTTTATGATAAAGATACGCCGGATCGGTGGGCTAAGGTAGCTGAAATGATACCTGGAAAATCTGTTGTTGATGTGATGAATCAGTATAAGGAATTGGAAGTTGATGTTTGTAATATTGAAGCTGGTTTAGTTCCAATTCCTGGTTATAGTACTAGTACTACTACTACTACTGCCTCACCTTTTACCTTGGATTGGGTTAGTTCTTCTGGTTATGATGCTTTTAGAGGAATCAATTCTAAGAGAAGTGGTTCCGGTAGATCGATCGATCAGGAGAGGAAGAAAGGCGTGCCATGGACCGAAGAAGAACACAAGTAAGAAACCTTAATTGCTTTTCCTTTAATTTCTCTGTGTGAAAATGATATTAGTATATGTTTCGAATCACGGTGAATTTGACGAAATCACTGTGGTAATAGGATTTTGTTGAAGCTCTATAGTGTAGCTTTCATCAAAATTAGACTGATACAACGTGATTCTATCAGACTCACCGTTAATTCAAATATACACTACGTGACTATGGTTTAAAATTTACATTAGTGCATGTCTGAAATCACGGTGAGTTTGACGAAGTTGGAAGTTTACGTAATAGCCTTGGAGTAGGTTGTTTTAGCTTTTGATGAGGTAGTTATTAGTTAAATCAAAATTGCTAAACAAAAAAGGGCTTGTTTATTTAAGTGCTTATGAAAATTCTTTGACAGGTTGTTTCTATTGGGTCTGAAAAAGTATGGAAAAGGTGATTGGAGAAACATATCAAGAAACTTTGTGATCACAAGAACACCAACACAAGTTGCTAGCCATGCTCAAAAATATTTCATCCGACAACTTTCCGGCGGCAAAGACAAAAGAAGAGCTAGCATCCATGACATAACAACGGTTAACCTCACCGAAACTTCAAAAGCTTCTCCAACTTCGGAAAACACCAAAACATCCACTTCACCAAACCATAACCATTCCATGAACATCATCAACAAATATTCCACCGCCGCATCCGAGATGCATTTTCAGCCGACTATGATGATGACGGCTTTCGACCCCTCACATGAACAAGTTTTCATGTCTCATAATAACTCTTATGGATTTAAAATGCAAGGTCAAAATCAAAATATGCATAGAAATACTCTTCATGAGTCTTCTTACTTTGGAACTCAAACACAAAACATGGTCTTCCAAATGCAATCTTCTCAACAAAACTATTCACATGCATGATGATGATGATGTTGTTCGGGATTGGTTGTATTTGTATCGAGTTATTTATTACCACCTCTCGTATATCAGATACATTGATTATTCAATGAATTTAAAAAGTAAATTTTCTCTTATAAATAGTATCAGATAGAATGAAAGAGAGAGAATTATTTATGGCTAGAACAATTATATTTTGTTTGGTTTTTTTTACTACTAGTTGTAGGACTAGTAAAGTGTTTATGCTTTTTACCAAGTTCTATGTGAATATTTCAATAGAATATTATAGTTATCAGTTAGTTAGTTATTTGCTTTCTTGGTATATGAACATAATGAATATTTTTTTTTTTCTTTCTTTTAACAACCTTAAACTTATGAAAGGTGAAAAAAGCTGCAAGAAAAACATGCTTTGTAACTTCTGATATTGAAGGTAGTTAAGAATATTGAAATTTGAAGATTGGTAATTGTTCTTTAAAGATAAGATTAAGATGCGGAAATATATCGTACAAATTAAGATTCATTTGGATTATTTAATTAGTTTTTGAAATTGTAATGAAAATTTTAAGCATATGGTACAAAGTGTGATTCATGGGGGATTCGATAGGTAATATATTCTTAACAAAGACTTTGATCATGTTTTATAGTCTTTGATTCTATAGGTACGGATACTACCTATATATTTTACATAATTAAAAATGTTTTACTTTTAATAGATCTATTATAGAAAATCTAATTTGTAACATATAAATAAATAAAATATCACGAGCGAAACTGCATTGCAGTCAAATATTTTTAAACAATTATCAACCGAGCTGATTTAATGAGATTACTATAATTATATTTTTTTTAATGTATGATTTACTTAAAGATTTAGTCATTTATAAATTATGAGATTCTCTTTTGATTTTTGTGGCAACCTTCTAAGTTCTCTCTAGATGAATGCATATTGCAAATTTTCACCAAAAAGTTATACAATAATACAAATTGTGAGGGTTATTTGTCAATTATTCCATATCATCAAACTTGTGAAACGCATAGGATTCAAGAATATGTACTCTCTGTCTCTAAGTCAGCCCAAGTAATCAAACAAACCCTTACTTTCGGCCCCTAATCAACTTCACTCAACATCCTACATATTAATTTTATGACGTATACCTAATAAAAATTGTAATATGATTTTCTTCAAATATAGGTTTTATTAATAAAAAAATTATATCTAACTATAAATTTGTCTAAATTAGATGTTATTTCTTCTTGAAAAAGACATGAGAAAAATTCATTCCCCTATAGTGATGTCTTAATTCTTTGTTTTTAATCTCATGGTTTTCATACACTCATGAAGATACAATTGCATAAAGACAAATGTAGAAGTTACAATTTTTAACTTGGAAAGAGAATCTATAAATAAATTAATTTCAACTAACCTAGACACTACAAACAAGAGATGATAATTGAAATATGATGTGCAATTTGATTAGAGATGCAAATCCTCACTCATAAGCTTTTCCTTTCTTCTTTGTAATAAGGATATTTTGACCATATATATGACACTTTTCGCATGCCTCACATTAGGAATTAGGAAAAGGGCCATTAGCATATATACTCAACTGTTCATTTTCAAAAAAAAGTTTATTTAGTTTTTTTATTATAAATATTAATTATTAATTCAAAAAAAAGTTTATTTAATTTTTTTATTATAAATATTAATTATTAATTATGTCCATTCTAAAATTATGAAATATAGTTGCGACATATTAAACTCTAGATTTCATTTTTAACTCAATTATAATATATTAATTACGTACTTCTACAATTTCTATATTGATTTTAAAAAATTTGAATTTTATATTTTTTTACATAGATAAATTCGATTTATTTCACTACGTAAATAATGTTCAATATAAAGAAGAATCGAATGGAGAATCATACGTCTAAACCAAGAATTGACTGTCTTAGTTAAAATGTGAGCAACTGAATTCGCTTAGCGCTTAATAAACTTAACCTCAAAGTCGTGAAACAAATCTAAAAGATTCTTAATACTAAAAATAATCACTCTAAATTCATAATTACCAGCATAGTTAACACTAATAACTTACACCATAATTTGCAAATCACTTTCAAAGATGATGCGCTCCAATTGCATCTGAATGGCTCCTTGGAGTGCTTCCTTTAAAGCCAAAGTCTTTTCTTCAACGATAGAGTAAGGCCCACAGTCCCACGAAGTATCCGCCATAATGAAACCCCCTGAGCAATCTCTATAACACCAGCCTCAGTTAGTCGTACCTAGGTGTTTATTGAACCCTGCATTCACATTACACTTCATCTAACCAACTCTAGGTGGCTTCCATATATGTTGTTATTGGGTCTGGAGATCGTCATTACCACTCATCTCTTGATGTTGTTGGACCATAAACCAATCGTTCCAATTATGATAACCTTGCATTCCCAACTGAGTAGCCTCCTTCTTTTCGTTATTCCAAATCCAGTTATTCATATTATTTCACATCAACCATACCATAACCGCCACTCTACCTACAACCCTCTTATCTTCCTTACTACAAATGTCTTATATCACCATCCTCGCATCATTCATCTGTTCAATCTGTGGCCTGATAAATTCCCTTAAACCTACCACATTCCAACATTGAGACGTAAGAGCAGAACCAAAGAATACTTGTCACGCATCCTCCAATCCTCCATCACACGGTACTACAAAAAGTGCTTTTAACCTCGAACGCGGATACATTTAACCTCAGCTAAAGAAGTGAGGTAATGAAGGGCGTCATAAAAAGTATCAACTTAACATCTTGGTTTTTAAAACACCGAGGAGAAAATGCTTATGCACATGTGTTCGAGCCCTAGCCACTTCACTTTTAATATTTTCAAAACCAGCGCATCAAACCTCTCGATTTATCAATAATACCGAGGAGTAAGATTGATATTTTATTAATCTCGTTAAAACTATAAAATATTAATAAATTAATTGTTTACTCATAATATTATATTGTTTACACATAATATTCATGTAAATATATAAAAAAAACTGGAATCTGATTCATTGTCATCACCGTTGGTGAAGATCAGATGTTGGATCATCGTTTCATTGAAATGTCGGGAAAGAGAAAATGTTGGGTGCAATATATTCCAGCTCCCTTTCACATTTTTTTTAATGTAAAACAAGAAAAAGGTTAGTTAAATGAATGAATGTATGATTATTGAAGAACACCTTAAAAAGTTGATTATTGAATAATACAAACCTTAACACAATTTATTTTCCGCTCTTCCAATCCATCGTAGAGAACTTTATCGAGTTTTTTATGCTTCAAAGTTTTCATGTTATGGTTCATTAATAATTATTGATATTCAGAATGCCTTTATAATGGATATCTGTTAGGTTTCACGCAGATCACTAATGGAAGTGTCTTGAGTGTTGATATTCATGAAATGACTGACACATATTTGTTTAAGGAAGGTGATAAATATCCTTAATCACGCCAAAATTATTTCCTCAGTTTCTGTCAAAAATCGAGGTAAAAGGTATATAAGCTTTATTTTTTTTAACATCACATTGTTTACACAAAATATTAAATTACATTAATACAACAAATACAATGATATCTTAGTCGTTATTGTTCTTGGAGAACAACACATCTTTGCTCTAATCCATATTCTCTTAGATACATTTTGTGCTCATTATTTTAAAGTTCAATGGACTGCATGCAATCAACTTCTAAAGAGCTATCTTCCCTAAGTAAGGAAATATCAGTTCCAAACATTGGAAATGATTTTTATGCACTTGCAATCCATTATTGAGAACTTTTTCGAGTTTTTTTAAGTTCCAAAATTTCATTATCTTGAGAAAATATTATCAAGGCCAATGCTTTCACAAGATAGTTATATAATGGCGGATGTAGATATTATGTTGTGGATTGATGTCTTGGCAATATCTTGAGTATTTTTCCTTTAAGAATGTAGGATATAAATTCGTTATTGTAGTTGTGTAACATGTTACCTCGATTTAAAAAAAACGAGGGGAAACATTTTTTCTATTTTAAATAGAAAAATAAAATAAAGTAAGAAATCTCCTCGGTTTTAAAATAAAATTGAGGTGAATAATATATTATTTTATTTAAAATATTATATTGTTTACACAATATATTAAAAATGTTCAGATTCATCATCACTGTAATTTCAAATTTGGTTGCATATATATTTTCGAAGGTTGAACAACCTTCTTTGTTAAACCTAGAAGCATGAATGATTTTCTGCACTTGGAATCTATCACAAAGAACTTTTCCAACATTCTTTAATAAGGAGTTGTTCCAAAAACACAACATCAACACCATTATGTGAGATAGATTGTAAGGGCAGAAAAATGTTTTGTTCAAGGATAGAAGAACGTTGAAGATTTATCATGTCTTGTTAGGTCTGTGGTTTTATGATTGACAATAATTTTGTTAAAACATGTATCACAACAAGATGTTGAGCAAGATGTCGTGACATGTTGATCAAACATCGTAGTAGGCTCATTTTTTACTTCTTGGAAGATTTAGTTTATTTAAGTGTGCGACTCTCTGCTATTTTATCTCATATGTTTTCGCAGCTCAAGAAGGGTTAATTTTGGAACAACTGTTTTTATTCCAGCTGTGCACTTGTTTCATAAAATAGGATGTTGAGACATTTTAGGAAACATGTGATGTTATTGCTTGTTTTAAGGAGAAGTTTTTGAATAATGCAACAATTATTTTTTGGATTTGCATCTCAATGATTGAAGACCCAGAAGCCCAACTTGCCAAAGACTATTTAAAGGATGTTCTAAACCTAATGTTATTAACTAATCTGTGCATATGGGAGTATTTTTTTAGGGTTTAGTTTGTTCTTTGTTCTTTGTGATCCACTCTATAGTAGATTTGAACTGTGTTTATTGTGAGTCATTCATGTATCTCTTGGATGCTTAAATTGGACTTTGTTTGATTTGTAATTATAAATCACTCATAAGCTTTTAAGCAAGAGTAGATTTTATG